ATATAACATATAACATATAACATATAACATATAACATATAACATATAACATATAACATATAACATATAACATATAACATATAACATATAACATATAACATATAACATATAACATATAACATATAACATATAACATATAACATATAACATATAACATATAACATATAACATATAACATATAACATATAACATATAACATATAACATATAACATATAACATATAACATATAACATATAACATATAACATATAACATATAACATATAACATATAACATATAACATATAACATATAACATATAACATATAACATATAACATACATATAACATATAACATATAACATATAACATATAACATATAACATATAACATATAACATATAACATATAACATATAACATATAACATATAACATATAACATATAACATATAACATATAACATATAACATATAACATATACCATATAACATATAACATATAACATATAACATATAACATATAACATATAACATATAACATATAACATATAACATATAACATATAACATATACCATATAACATATAACATATAACATATAACATATAACATATACCATATAACATATAACATATAACATATAAAATATAACATATAACATATAACATATAACATATAACATATAACATATACCATATAACATATACCATATAACATATAACATATAACATATAACATATAACATATAACATATAACATATAACATATAACATATAACATATAACATATAACATATAACATATAACATATAACATATAACATATAACATATAACATATAACATATAACATATAACATATAACATATAACATATAACATATAACATATAACATATAACATATAACATATAACATATAACATATAACATATAACATATAACATATAACATATAACATATAACATATAACATATAACATATAACATATAACATATAACATATAACATATAACATATAACATATAACATATAACATATAACATATAACATATAACATATAACATATAACATATAACATATAACATATAACATATAACATATAACATATAACATATAACATATAACATATAACATATAACATATAACATATAACATATAACATATAACATATAACATATAACATATAACATATAACATATAACATATAACATATATATAGTAGACACAAAGATATAAACTTTTTTACACTCTCTACTTTTGCCTATTGTGTCATAAACACACAAAGAATCAGGCTAGAGAAACGCCATAAAACTGATCGTTATGTTTGTGTGTTTCTGGCTGTTTTAATTTTTAATTATAATTTGAATACTAATTATATTAAAAAGAGACAAGAAAAAACACAAGACTTTGGCATAAAACATCATAAATCCAAGTTTTGGAGATTGTTCCTGCACAAAGTCCGTTAACAGAGCGCTCTAGAATGTTGAGAAATATAAATAATACCATATTCGGGCACAACTCAGCCGTACGAGCATTTGACGAGTTATTTATTAAATATTAGTTTAATTTATATCAGTTTTCCGCAACGCTGAAAACTCCCTCCCAAGCCCCTCTATACAGTTTTGACCAAAGCAAGTTTCTGCGGCTCGTTAAGTTTATTGTGCGTGTGTGTATGTGTGTGTGCTGTGTGTGTCAGCCGCTTAAAAATAGCTGCTTTAGAGTTTCAGCCTTTTAAATAAAATACAAGTCACAAGATGCAATAAAAATTAACAGCTAAGACTTTAATTTAACTACTCAATAAACTTGTTTGCCAGCTAAAATTAAATTGTTTAAATGCTTTCAATCAAAGCTCCATCAAACGCTCAATCAGCTCCCATCATTAACACAATAAATGCTTTACAGTCAAATGTTAAGCACAGAATTGCACTATGTTAAGCGTGCAGCTGTAAAGTGCACACTCAATCAAAACTTGTGGATGCTTCCATGCTTTCCATGCTTCCATTTATTGCTAAATTCCCTGCACACATTCGCAGCACGCACTCCATCGCAAACGTTTTACACCTGCCGCAAATTCAGCTATTTTGTTATGCTTTTAACGGCGAGCAGCGCCCTTGTGTAAAAAGCAAACGCTCACAAATCACACATAGCTCAATCAATGGAAAACGCCGAAGACACTTGCTCCACTTCCGAAAGGTTTACAGTGCCAGACAGCGCGACTCCAAGCACACATACACACACACACACACATGGGCAGCAGCTCAGACACTCACACATGCGCACCTAGTGTACGCCGCCATTGAGAGCAGCAGCAGGCGCGTGCGCCGTTGACAACAGCAATAACAGCATCCCCCTCCCCCTGCCCAACAGAGGTTTAGTGGTTACAGTTAGTTAGGCAGACATGCGCTCATATAATTTAGCTCGCCAACCGCGTGCGCGTGTGCGTCGCATGCGCAGCTTCCAGTCAATTGTTATTTTGTTTTTGTATTCGCTTTACACATAAATTAACCCGCTCTCGCTCTCATTTACATATGCATGTGTGCGAGTGTGTTTGTGTGTCACATGCGCAGCTTACACCCAATTGCTTGCTTGTTATTTTTCGGGTTTTTGTTTTGGTTTTTATTTTTGTTGTTTTCTTTTGCTCATGTTTCCTTTGTCTTTTTGTGTTTACACGTGTCGCAATTAAAAACAGCGCCTTGCTCTTAGCATTCGCACTCTCTCGCTCTCGCTCTCGCTCTCTTATTGCAGCAGGCCAGATTATCGATGTTTTGTTGTTCTCGTTTGGGCGTCGCAGCTTGCGCTCTGTCATAATTTGCAGCAGCACGAATAACCGCACTCACAAATTAGGTTCATTAGGGTGCGGCAGGTGGTACAGTGCCCGACAAAAGTAAACGGCAGCATTAGCATAATAAATATACGAACAGCTCGACTGTTGTTTTGGGCATACGCCTTATTTAAGTATTATTTTTAAAAACTTTCGCAGATGCGCTTTGGTCAGGCGACTTATTGCCTCGACTGTATGTTGTGTCATGTTATGGAATATGGTCAAAACAAGTTTGGCCATTAGAAGCAACACATTCGGCTAGCCAGATCCATAGTTAGATATATAGATACATAGTTGGATAGATTGGATATGCAAAGCCCGAAACACTTTATCTTCCAGCTCATGAGTAATACATCATTTGGCCAGCTCCACATGTGTGTGTGAGTGGGTGTCTGTATGTATCTGTGTGTGCGTGTGTGTGCGTTTACTATCATGAGGCACTTTAATGGACACACTAACCAAAACGCGTATCAGTGGGATATTTCCGGCTGCTGCTTAGGCGCAGCAATTAAAAAAAATTGACAGCTGCTCCGTCAATTAATCGAACATCAAAATCCCAAATGAAGAAGACGAAAAAGAGGCAATCGCAAATCCAGATAAATTGTTATAAATGTCTTTACGCATTAGGTTCATAAATTAAAGCGCAGCCACAAAACAAAATGCCAACCATAAATTATCGGTTCGAATAGTTGAAAGTCGTGTGTGTTTTGCGGAGAGGTTTTTTTTTATTTTATTCTATTTATTTTGCTTTTTTTTTGTTTTTTTGTTTTAACTTCAGGAAATTGCCAACATCTACGACTCGTGACGATAGAGAAAACGAAAACGAATTCGACAAACGAGCCGCTTGTTCTAATGAGCATACTGCTCTTTCTGTAGGGTATTTGTGGTGTGCTATGCACATGTGCATCAGGTATGTGCACGGCTTTTCGACACAGTTTTCAATATGTTTGCATATGCTTGGTGTGCATACTTTTCGACGTGCATGTGGTACGTTTTTTTTTTACAATTTCCCAATTCCCAACTTTGAATATTTCTCTTGTGGATGAGACGTGCTGCTTTCCTGCTTTCTTTTAGGGAAAGGGATTTCGTCTCCAATGTTGCCTATTTAGCTTTTTTATAGCTAATTGGCTTTTCTTAGCCGCAAACAGTTGGAATTTTTTACTCATTTGTCTAGAATTGCCATCTGTTCAGGCATTGAAAGATTTACTATTTTCGTTGTAAAATAATCTACTATAATAATTATATCAAATTGTTAATGTCTTCAAATGCCTTATGAATCGATCGTCGATCTTCAACATAATTAACATTTGTGTATTCATTGTTTTGTAATTATTTGTAACAATAGACTTAAACATTTATGTGCGAAAAAAAACTTTTTAAACCAGAAAGAAGTAATAATTTAAATCATAATAAAGTTTGTACGCAATTCCCTCAAAAAGCTCTCGAAAGATTAAAGAAAAAAGTTCTGTTAATGCCAAATTGCCCAATTCCCAATGTACATTTTACTCATGTTACTTAACATAACAGACGAGCACTTCCAGGCGCTCTCTTCGCCGAAGGGCAAAAGGATCAATGCTTACCTAAAACATACGAAAGCCATGGCTAACATTTCGTCAACTTTTTAGGGCATACAAACTTCGTTAAGTCCATTTGCTAATGGCGCAGCGCCAGAAGATTAATTAAATAAATGTTATTTATGTGCTTTGCCTGCCGGTTAAAGCGAATTATGTGCATTTGTTAGCCTAATTGAATTGATTGTGCAAAAGGTGAAAGGCTACTGCGCAGTCGCTTCTTATGCTGGCAATGCGGAAGAGCTCTTACACTCTCAGCAATTGCATTCGCGCTCTTAAGAGCACGTTCGTTTACACATTTAAGCTTCGTTCCGCGTCCTGCAGCTCTTCCTGTCGCTTCTTATGCTCGCAATGCGGAGGAGCTCTTCCGCTCTCAGCAATTGCATGCGCGCTCTTAAGAACGCATCCGCTTACACTTTTAAGCGCGCCTGGAAGTGTGCCAAGGTTTTGCGCGTTTCTGCTTGCGCTCAAGAGCGCGCTACGAAAAAAAAAAAGTAAAAGCTCTCGTTTTTGATCGTTTTGTTAATTTTTTTGTTTACATTTCTTTTGTTCTTCAATTTGTTTTTATTTAGGATTTATACAATAACTTAACATTTGTTTGCTTTTGGAATCGGAAATATACAATATTAAATATTGATTTCATGTTTTGCATTTATATTTATTTAATTTTTTCTTTTTGCTGTAGATTTTGCATTAGTTTTTGATTTGTTGTTGTTTTTCATTTTATTTGAATTTGAATTAGCACATATTTCGGGGCTCGCTATTACATACAGTTTCTTTTAATTTGTATTTTATTTTTATTACGCTCTTGTTGTGTGTTTAATAATATTATTACATTTACCAAATGCAGCACATTAATGCTTACGCTGTGTGTGTGTGTATGTGGGGTTTGTGTGTATGTGTGTGTGTGGCGGTCCATTTCGGTGTTCTCTTTTACTATTTGGTTTAGCTCTTTCTATTTGCTGCAGCTGGACTGAAGGCCCGCGACATACGCACAAATATCACTAGGCTGCTGTCTGTGTGTGTGTGTGTGAGCGAGTGAGTGTGTGTGTGTGTGTGTGTGTGTGTGTTTGGGTGGGTGGTTGTGATATACACACACACATATGCATTTAGGTTCAGTTTGCAGTAAACGAAAAACAAATACAAAATATATATATCGAAGCTCTCACATACAAGCATACATATATGCACACATGAGTGAGTGTGTGTGTTAAATTCTCAGCAAAGTGTGTGGCACCTCAACTATTTTTTCACGCAAATACGCAGAAAAACCACATGAAAAGTAGATTAAACTTTCAGCATTCTTCACATGAACTTTACGTTTGCGTGTTAAAAGTTGAAAGAAAAGAAAGCTTTGAGCAAACCCATGAAAAAAGTGTTGACTCCACTAAAAGCGCACTTAAAGTGAAAGTAGTTGAAAGCATGCTGAATTCTGTGCGTAATTCATGCGTGAAAGTCCAACTGGGCTCTTGAAAATTTGCAAGCTTCTTATTTACGCGCTCTTTGCTTTAAGTGCGTGCGTGTATGTGTGTGTGTATATGTGTATATATGCGTGTATTTTGTATATTTGTTTTGTTTTGTTGTATAATTTGTTTAAGGTATTAACATTTAGTTTAATTTCATTACTTTCATCGTCATATAAATAAAAAATAAATACATTTTGTTTTTTTTTTTTCTTTTTTTTTCTGTTCTTTTCTCATTTATGCATGCAGGCAAAACTGTTTCTGTTCATTTTCTTTATCGACTTTTTAAATACCCTTTAAAAAGATGCACTAATTTTACGAATACGAAAAAAAAAATATATATATATATATTATGTATGTATGTATATAAAGTCGAGTCACATTACACACAAAAAAAAAAGGAAATATGGAAAATATATATATATATATATATATATATATAATTATATAAACAGCATCATAATAAACAACGGCTGTTCTGTTCATTTTTGTAGCATCAGCTTTTCACATATATAAATATATATATATATATATATATCCAGACTAACAAATATATAAATATATATATGTTGTATACGCGTATGCATATGCATTCTATATATATATCATAGTTTTAAAGTTAAGCTGCAACTGCACGTGGGTTAGACAGCGACAGCTATAGCGCGCTGCATTGAGTTAATGAGTGAGACGGCGATAGCCACAGCGAATTTGGCCAACAACTGCTGTTAGCTGTTAACAGCCGCTGTTAAGCGCGCACTTTTAGCTGTCGCTGTTGATCGTAACGGTAACTGTTACTGTTTACATTTTCTGTTCTTGGTTCTGTTCTGTTCTGTTCTGTTCTGTTCTGTTCAGAGAGCTCGCGTCTCATTTTGCTTTCGTGTGTTTCGTTTTGTATTGCATTTTCTTCTGTTCTCTTTTGCTGTATTGTATTGTAAAAGCAAGCGTTTGAATGCAGCAGAATTTAAATATCAACAGCTTCGGTTTTGCTTTCCCCCTTCAAAAAATTAGCATTTAACATTAACATTAAATATGATACGCCCCATCGCTAACCCTAGCCCCGACGCCCATGCATTGTGCTGGGCTTCTACGCTCTCTCCCTCTCTCTCTCTCTCTCTCGCTCTTTCTGCTCGCTTCTTCTCGGCGTTTCGTCTGTCTCGTCTGTGTTCTGCCTCTAGTTGTGTGTGTCTGTGTTATTGTGTGGGTGTGTGTGTGTTCCTCTCGCTGTTGTTTTGTTGCTTCTCGCTCTCGTTGATTATTGCACCACACAGCAGCCCTTTTTCTTGTTCTTCTTCTCGTCGATAACCACGTGACTAGCCGAAGTTGGTCCAGGCACCACTTGCTTTGAGACTTGAGCCAGAGAAGTGACGCCATTATTGCTCTCCGCTTTGCCAGCTGCTGTTACCGCTGCTGCACCACCGCCGCCACCTCCTGCTCCTGTCGAGCTGGCCACCTTGCTGCCGTGGGAATTTGTACCATTTTGTGCTGTCGCTTGATTCTGCGAGAGCTGCAAGAGAATTAGAAAGAGAGCCAGATTAAATTTCACATTGTTCACCGACTTTTATAACGAGTGCATTTCGGCAAGCTAATTGTAGCATGTCTAATTGTAGCGAATATTTATCTTTGCAACGAGTACAAATTGTGACCAGTGTGCTTCAACGAGTAGATATAGACTGAATTTGGGCGAGTATATTTCAGTGAGTGGGAATATGTAACTTTGTAGCGAGTACGAATTGTACCGAGTATGTTTCAACGAGTAGATTTCATGGACTGTATTTGAGCGAGTACATTTCAGCGAGTGCCTTTCATCAATAGCCTTGTAAAGCGTACAAATTGTAGCGACTATTCTTTGGTGAGTTTATTTCTAAGAATGTATTTGGGCGAGTATTTTTCAGCGATTGTCTTTCGGCAAGAGCCTTGTAACGAGTGCAAATTGTAGCGAGTATGTAACATTGTAACGAGTACGATTTCTGGGGACTATCGAATATGTCTAAACATGAAATTGGGCGAGAACTTTTCAGCGCTTATCTTTTGGCAAGAGTCCTATGAGTACAAATTGTAAAGAATGTGCCCCAACGAGTATATTACAGAGTGTATTTAGGCTTTATTTGGGCGATTGTCTTTTAGCTTATCCCGACAAATGCAATATTACAAGTAAGAATAGTAGCGACCATTTTTCTACGAGTATATTTCACTTCAGCAAGAGCATTGTAACGAGTACAAAGTGCCGCGAATATTCTTCAACAATTGCATTTTAGCATTCGTATTGAATGAGTACAAATTGTGGCATACAGCAAGGAGTATAAATTGTAGAGACTATTTATCAACGAGTATATTTCATAGGATCTATTAAACGTCTATTTTTACGAGTACAAACTGTACGCAAGCGGGCGATTTTCAGCAAGAAGACTAACGAGTGCATTTGAACCCCTGCGAGCTTCAACGAGTACACATCAACGAATAAATTCTACCAAACAAGCTTTAATGAATGCATTTAAGCTTTGGCCTATTTTATGGACACTCGCAGTAATAAATGTATTTAACAAATGTACTTTATCGCCTTTGCCTTTGACGATCAAACCCCAGCGAGTATATTACTTTAACGAGTGCATTTTTGTAAATTGTAGTACTGTAAAACAACAAGACAGAAGCTATTCCAGAAATATGTCAATTTAATCTGGTTTTCTTATCTCTTCCAAAACATGAGCCCCTCATAATATATCAACTAATTGGTGAAAGGAACTCTTTCTGCTTTACAGTTGTCCCACAAAGTGAAAGTAGCTACTAAGACTTTCAATCTGCTTGCTTTTGGGCTAGGTTTGTGCATTAGTATATAGCTAGAACATTTTGGAAGGAAGCAGTACACTATGTGAGACTTGTTATGGCCTTATGGAAGACCTCTACTGGATGTTATGAGAATATATATCATTCAGAACCTGTGTCTTTATTTGAAGAATTTCGTATCTTTAAGATACGGAAGATATCAACTTCTAAAATCCTTCAATATCTGTGACCTCCACTTCCCACATGTAAATGTTCGTTTTATATATTGAACATATATCATCTTGTGTATGAAAAAAAGAAAGGATTGACCAGAGTTTATCTATAAGAATCTTAACTCCCGCTAGGGATTAAAGTTGACATAGGTTTAAATTATTGTTTCGCGACTGTCTCAATTCACCAAATTGGCCTATAGCATATGGTTGCCATGGGTAAAATCGGTTGAAATTAGGGTTCTTGTATAATTAACTTTGTTTTCAAAGTGAATTGGAAGAAACATGGAATTTTTAGAACCCAACTATGATGCCTTATCAACAAGGCACAGCTGTTTTTTATGGTATATGGGAAAATCGGCTTAGAAATTAGTTTTTACATTTGCTGAGATATCTTAAAATCTAGCTACTAGTCCAACGAGCTTCATCCCTTTCCTAACAACTCTGTACAATTTTACCAAATCGAACTACAGTAAAAACTCGACTAGCAGACACTTCGCTTGGACATTTGCCCATGTAAATCAGGCCTCAAAACATTGCCGCTCTCTAAAGCGAAGTGCTTTTACTATAGTCAACTGCCAGACTGTTAGGGTATTTTGTGTTCGGTGTGTTGTGCTCTCTTGCGGCGCTTACATTTGTTTTGGTAACTGTCTCGCCTATTGCAGTGCTTGCGCCATTACAGTTATCATCGCCATGCTGTGCGTTGCCATTGCCTATTGTACGATCCTCTGTGGGCGTGATGGGCTTGCCACCTGCCAAAAAGAAGAAGATAAACAGAGAGAGAGAGAGAGAGAGAGAGAGAGAGAGTTAAGCGAGAGAGAACAACAGAGAGAACGGTTCGACTTACCACGTATCATGCTAACAATTTCATCAGCCTCTCTGGACAGATCGCCGCCAGGACGAAACGGATTATCCCAGCCGGAGTCAGTGCTGTAAAACGTTGCATAAGAGTGATGTTAAAATTGTTATTGTTGTGTTCGGTGTTTAGAGCTCACCTCTGCTGTCTGTCATAGGCTGGTCCCAGGCCGCCGGCTGGCTGCATCGTTGCCGTCGCCATTTGCGTATAGTCTAAGTTACAATTGTAGCTACTAAACGTATTATCTAAATTATCTGAAAAACTCGTTAATGTATACTCGGCTGGTGGACAAATCTGTTGCGGTTGACTGCTTTGGTAAATGGAAACGCGCACTATCGAACGCTCGGATCTGCAAAGGAATAATGGGATATGTTAGCTCGGAATTGAAATAGTTTCTGGAATTGTTTGCGTGGAAAAGAAGTCGCGACAATTAAATTCAATGTCAATTAAATTAAGTCATTTGCCAATTGCGTCGCAACGCAGCGCGTCCGAGCTTGTTGAACTTTTCAATTATATATATATTTTTTTTTGCTTCAATTGAATTTCGTTCAGTTATGGAAATTGACATGGCAAGACCGGGCCGCACAAATCTCGACCAGCTCTTGACATTCCGCATCTAACGAGTCTCTTTGGATTTTAGCGCGTGCCACACACAATCTCGCATTCATTATATAACGATAAAGCCGGCGAGCGAGAGAGAGAGAGAGAGAGACAGTTTTTTCTTTTACTCTCTTCCCTCTCGTTTGCCGTTGCCCAACTCTGGAGTCTGGACTTTACCATTCCGGAAAGTGTGGCTTGTGTCCCTTGAGGATTTCTATGTTACTCAATTCGATTAAATTTCGCTGCGACTTGAACGTGACCAAAAAACTACAAATGCCCGCGACAAGGTTAACCAACTCTGTACATTAATTAAGGCTAGCCAGCGCCTAAACCAGTTGTGAATTATAAGCATGAAATGTGCTTAACTTGTTTAAGGCAATGCTACTTAAATGGCATAGAAGTACGAACATTGAAAACATTCCAATTTGAAGAACAAATAATTGCTAAAGGATCTCATTAGGGTTGAGCTTAAACCAGCTGAGAATTATATATATTTATGGTACAAGGTATAGGGTTATATGGTACAAGATATAAGGTAAAGGGTATAAAGCGAAAAGTAAAAGATATAAGGCACAAGGTATACGCTAAAGGGAGTACGGAAAAGTGTATAAGTTGAAGGGATAAGATAAAGGGTATAAGGTAAAAGTACAAGGTATAAGGTACAAGGTACAAGGTAAAGGGAATAAGGTACAAGACAAAAGGTAAAGGGGCACAAGGTATAAATAAAGGATATAAGATGAAAAGCACAAGATATAAGGTACACGGTATAATGTAAGGGGAATGAGGAAAAGCGTATAAGATCAAGGGATAAGGTAAAGGGTATAAGGTGAAAAGTACAAGGTATAAGGTGCAAGGTAAAGAGTTAAAGGTACAAGGTTAAGGCTACAAGGTACAAAGTATATGGTACAAGGTAAAGGGTATAAGGTAAAAATCACAAGATATAAGGTACAAGAAATAAGGAAGTATAAGATAAAGGGATAAGGGTATAAGGTACAAGATAGAAGGTACAATGTAAGGGCTATAAGCTCCAAGGTACAAGGTACCTCTAAGTTTTATCACGAGCTCATGAAAAGCAAACTTACTCGACAAGAACGATCCGCTTGAAACGAAGTTAGGAACTCTTTGCGTGGACTTTATATAAACAAGCTTCGATTTTTATCTTTTGAGCAGCTTTTCCTATCGATGAGTCTCAATGATGCTTGAATTTGAGACAGCTTAGCTCTTGTACACGTTTGTTTCAGATATAACACAATTAAAATATATATTGCACACAATTTTTATACAAGCTGAACGAGCACAAGTATCAGAATATTCTGACGTTACAATCGACATAAAGAAATAACTGATCGCATTTTCAACGTTTGTTTTGTTTTTGTTTTGTTTTCAAATGTAGAATTTAAGTCAATTATTTTCAGTATCTGTTTGCTAAAAAAGCGGCCAGAAATTGGAACTTTGGTATTAAATCCGTGTTTATAATATTGTGAATTATATTGCTATAGTCCAAAACTCATTAAAATAGGGTAAGGAAGGGTATCTCCGCCCCAATAAGATATACATATATATTTTCTTGAGCAGCATCAAAAGCCGAGTCGATCTATGAACGCAAGGATCTCAGAACCTATAAGATAATCGATAATCGATAACTTGCCCCGTCTCCAGGCAATCGATGAAAATCGATATCGAAATCCCGCGTTTTGAGCAAATCTCTTAGGTTTTAAGAGCTAGAGCCATCAAACTTAACATGTTGATTCTAGAATAGTATATACAGATCAAGTATCTTTCATTTTATAGCTACCGTCCCCAATACCTCTTTGCGTGAGCTATATTCTTTGTTGGTAGCAGGATGGTCCAGGGTAGCCCCTAGTCGGGCACTCCCGACTAGAGCACTTTCTCGTTTTGTAAGCCTCTCGTCCTATTTAAGCACAGCAAATTTGATTAAGATCGGAATAAAAACAGCGAAGTTACTTGGGAACATATTATCCCATAGTGTGGGACTAAGGCAAGAAGAAGCTGCAAATCGGGCAAGTTTCTGTGTTCTAGTAGATATCTTCTAGTCAATTTTCCAGTCTATCTTCCAGTCTGTCTTCCAGTCTATCTTCCAGTAGATGTCTCCTAGTCGATATCTTCTCGTCCATCTTCTAGTAGATATATTCTATTCGGTATCTTCCAGTCTATCTTCTGGTAGATATATTCTAGTAGATATCTTCTAGTCTATATCTTCTAGTCTATGTCTTCTAATCTATCTTCCAGTCTATCTTCTAGTCTATCTTCCAGTCTATCTTCTAGTAGATGTCTCCTAGTCGATATCTTCTCGTCTATCTTCTAGTAGATATACTCTATTCGGTATATTCCAGTCTATCTTCTGGTAGATATATTCTAGTAGATATCTTCTAGTCTATATCTTCTAGTCTATCTTCTAGTCTATATCTTCTAATCTATCTTCCAGTCTATCTTCTAGTCTATCTTCCAGTCTATCTTCTAGTAGATGTCTCCTAGTCGATATCTTCTCGTCTATCTTCTAGTAGATATACTCTATTCGGTATCTTCCAGTCTATCTTCTGGTAGATATATTCTAGTAGATATCTATATATCTATATCTTCTAGTCTATCTTCTAGTCTATATCTTCTAATCTATCTTCCAGTCTATCTTCTAGTCTATCTTCCAGTCTATCTTCTAGTAGATGTCTCCTAGTCGATATCTTCTCGTCTATCTTCTAGTAGATATACTCTATTCGGTATCTTCCAGTCTATCTTCTGGTAGATATATTCTAGTAGATATCTATATATCTATATCTTCTAGTCTATCTTCTAGTCTATATCTTCTAATCTATCTTCCAGTCTATCTTCTAGTCTATCTTCCAGTCTATCTTCTAGTAGATGTCTCCTAGTCGATATCTTCTTGTCTATCTTCTAGTAGATATACTCTATTCGGTATCTTCCAGTCTATCTTCTGGTAGATATATTCTAGTAGATATCTATATATCTATATCTTCTAGTCTATCTTCTAGTCTATATCTTCTAATCTATCTTCCAGTCTATCTTCTAGTCTATCTTCTAGTAGATGTCTCCTAGTCGATATCTTCTCGTCCATCTTCTAGTAGATATATTCTATTCGGTATCTTCCAGTCTATCTTCTGGTAGATATATTCTGGTAGATATATTCTAGTAGATATCTTCTAGTCTATATCTTCTAGTCTATGTCTTCTAATCTATCTTCCAGTCTATCTTCTAGTCTATCTTCCAGTCTATCTTCTAGTAGATGTCTCCTAGTCGATATCTTCTCGTCTATCTTCTAGTAGATATACTCTATTCGGTATCTTCCAGTCTATCTTCTAATAGATATCGCCTAGTCGGTGTCTCTTCCAGTCTATCTTCTAGTATATCTCATGTAGTCGGGCTCGCCCAACTGAACCACTCCCGTTTGTTATCTTAGTTATAATTATTATTATTTTCTCTGCTTATAAATTAGCTATTTTATCTTATATTAGAGCATTTAATGCCACTTTTCAACACTTCCCTTTCGAGTTGGCCACCCATGGTGGCACCCAGAGCGAGCCCTGCACTAAACTAATTGATTTGTGACCTCATTTGCGCCAAAGCAGTTGGTGAAAACTTTACAAAGGTTTACAGCTGAGGCCAATAACTCAGATTGAAAAGTCGCTGCAAACAACGGGCCAACTTGTGACTCATAACTTGGCTAATAACCGAGTCGTATGCAAAATTTAATTGCATCATTTTTACGAACCGCAAACTTGAAGAAAAACAGTCAAAACAGTTGCCAGCGCTTTGCTGCTCGTAAGATCCATAAACAGATCCAAGAAGAAAGAAGTCGATTATGGGAATGAGTTTATCATGAGGAAACCAAATATGGCACATTCACAGCGCCATAATTCGCAACTAGTTCTAGTCTCAAAGCAGCCAAATGGCTGGCAAAAAAGGAGAAGAAAAAGAAGATGAAAAAAAACTCACTTTACGGTATAATTATTGTTATTATTTTGTTTTTGTTATCTGCCCGCAAAAACTGTAAGCCGAAGCACACGTATAGCATGAAGAGAGTTGATGAAAAAGAGAATAATTTGTTTCTTTTTTTTACCAGCTTTGTTACTTTCCCAAGTTTTTCAGTCTATTTTTGGCCTTTGCTTTTGTATTTGACTTTTTGTCCGTGCGTTTCGTTTATTTCGTTTATTTCTTTGTTTCCTGGAAACCGAAACGAGCCGCAAAGCAATATTCTTAGCTCTATTTAATGCTCTCGGAGCTTGTTTGGATGATGTGATCTACGATCTACGTTTGTCGGACTTCTTTATGTGCCGCTGTCCATCAGTCCGTTCTATTCTCTCCCGTCCCTCCCTTCCCTTCCCTTCCCTCTAGCCATCCGCCCAGTTTATTGTCGGACAGTTTTGGGCTGATGTTTTGCCTATTTTGCTAGTCATTTTTTTTGTTGGTCTTTTGATCATCTAATACAAAAGCCCGATGTTGTTCAAGACAAGTTAAGAACCAGATGTTCGTAATGGCGCATGCTCGACTGGCAGCTACCCTCTAGTCAGCTCTCTTTTGGGAATAGAATTGATGAACCTCAAGTAACTTTTGTGTTTGTTCATCGTTCATTATAAAACTTTCGATATAGTTGTATTATACGTTAAGACATTTGAATACCAAAAATCAAGACTATATCTTGACATTCCCTGAAGTTATCGTTGAATATTGAATAATCTCTGACTGGGATCCTATATATGTACATATATGATACAT